TTATTAACCGAGTGGGGGGTCTGTATGGGAGAATCTTGACCGAGGTTGCCAGTACAGACCGAATGCAGTGAGGTCTGTACCAGTGACCGAGGTCAAGATTCTCCCATACAGACCGACTTAGCTCAGTAATAAGATGTTTATTATATGGCTGTGTCTTATATGCCCATTTTTTATATTCTTTGTACCTTTTTTTTCTAGACTGGTCTAGATGCCAGCCTAGATGAGAAAATCTAGACCACTTTCAATATTGATTTCAGCCAATCAAATTCGTGAATTCGGAAGTTCCCAGTCCTTATGAGACACAGCCATATGATAAGTTAGAGTACAGACGTCACTGCTTATGTCAATGGGTCACACACAGTGCCATGCACTGATTGAAACAATTGTCGTAATTGACGTCAATACTGTGGTACAAAACAAGTTGACAGCTGGGTTAGCATGGTCTGTACTCTTATCAACAGTGATATTCATCATCGCAATGGTCAAAATTTGTTGCAAACTCACTCGGCTGTGCTTCGTGAGTCCGCAACATTTTTACCACAGCATGTGAAGATGAATATCATTGTCATTAAGAGTACAGACCAGGTTAAACAACTTTTTATTTGTTTATTGATGTTTACCTAAGGGTTAACCTTATCACTAGTAATTTTTCTTACTGTCATACATTATTCATCATTGGTGAAAGCTACTGCAGTGAGCATCATAATTTCTTAGGGTTTCTGAATGATAAAGATACACCATGTGTCATGGTTAAAATAATTGATATATGGTCGTACCTTAAAACATTGCTAGATATGGTTCCATCATAGGCAGTCAATGGCCTAACATGGTGCTATCGAAAATTAAATGTGATGCAAACAGTGCTGCATGGAGTCAGGTGGCAAATTGTAAGCCTAATGAAATTCTCTTAGAGACTGGATACATTACTATCATAATGCTGTAAGCTCTTGTAGAAAGCTAGGCTCAGGACATTTGTGAATGCTTATTTATTGATTTTGAAGTCAGAGTGATAAATATATCTTATTATAGACATTTTGTTGTGTAGTATCGCTGAGTATTTTTATGAGTTGGGCCGTATAAAATACAAATAACCAGTAAAAATACTCAGCGATACTACACAACAAAACGTCTAATAAGTTATGTATTATCCAACACGCCAAACTGTTATTTCAGTGCGGACGAATTTCGTGGATATTTGTATTTACAAGGAGTGCGTGACAGAAGTATGTGAAGCGGAACAGAATTGGCACGTTGTCATGTTGCTGTTTCTATTTTCTTCAATAAATGAAGAAATTTCTGGGTCGTCTAGCTGTCTTTCTTTGTTCAATTCATCTAGTAAACTTGGATGTATATTTGCCAGCCATTCTGACTCTTTGTCATCAAAAATATGATTCAAATTGTCCACCATTTTTTTTTTTGTAACTACAATTCAATTCTTCATTTGTGTAATGCAAGAAAACCTGTTTAACCGGTACTAGAATACAAATACTGTATGATATTTGTATACTCGTCTATGGCGTTATTTGTACTCTATGAAGTGTAGTTGGATAATAATTGAAGTTACAATAACTATACACTGAATGCAAAAAAGGTATCCAATTTGAATTACCATTGTTCTAGACTCACTAACTTCTCACATGTGGGATAATTATTTGTGTTTCTGCATGAAGACGAGGTTAGTGAGTCCAGAACAATGGCAATTCAAATTGGATGCCATATTTGCGTTCAGTGTACAGTATAGTAAAGAGATAGTAATTGCTGTTTCTCCCTCAGGATCCCCAGCCAAGGAAGTCCCTAATGTGCCACTTGGTCTGGTAAGAAAATGCCATCTCATTCATTAACCAAGTTAACAAATGTTGATGACTGGAAGAGGTGATTTTAACCTATCTTTTGGAGGAATGGTCTAGCCAGCTTCATTTTTGTCATTGATGAATTTTTTTTTTTTTTTTCTGCACAATAGGTTGCACAGTTGAAGGCTGGCTTAAATGGAACTATGGGAAGAGCACATTGTATAGTTCCCCCAGAAAGTCTTCACACTAAGGTCAGATAGTGTGCAAGCTGACAATTAATCATTGTGAATTTTACAAATAACAAAATGTTATTGATAATATATAACAACAAACATATGAACTATATGTATGAACTGCGGTTATGAAACGTATATGTGCACGATCCTTCGCAGTAAAGCACTATTTGAGCAATAGTGAAAATCAGACCTGAAAAAAATTTCAGGCCTGTACGGGATTCGAACCACTGACCTCTGCGACGTTGTTGTTTGATTTATCATCTACGGGTTTATGTCGAATTAATTTGATGGCCTGCTCCCAGTTGGCTTGTTAGCTCAATTGGTAGAGCGCTGCACTAGTATCGCAGAGGTCAGTGGTTCGAATCCCGTACAGGCCTGAAATTTTTTTCAGGTCTGATTTTCACTATTGCTCAAATAGTGCTTTACTGCGAAGGATCGTGCACATATACATTTCATAACCGCAGTTCATACATATAGTTCATATGTTTGTTGTTGTTTGATTTATCATCTACGGGTTTATGTCGAATTAATTTGATGGCCTGCTCCCAGTTGGCTTGTTAGCTCAATTGGTAGAGCGCTGCACTAGTATCGCAGAGGTCAGTGGTTCGAATCCCGTACAGGCCTGAAATTTTTTTCAGGTCTGATTTTCACTATTGCTCAAATAGTGCTTTACTGCGAAGGATCGTGCACATATATGATAATATATAGTTAGAAATTATTGTGCATTTTGTCAATTTTTTGGGATGTGCTACTTATAAGATTGTATGGGTAGTTTTTCAATGTGGTTCTATGAATAGTTTTCCTTAACCCTTTGACTAACCCATGGGTGACTAAATTAAGACAGAAGTTCTCTTACATTATTGACTCATTATCAAGCAGACAAGGAATGAGAATAAAGAAAAATATAAACTAGGGGATAAGTAGTTGATTTGGATTTAAGCTTTACTTCATAGTGATTGTTGTCATTTGTATCAATAGACTACACCGATGCCGTATGAGGACGATGACCAAATATACGATGAACCGCCAGAAGGTATGTTATGATTGCAAGAGCCTATCATGTTTATTAAATATGTCCTTGTAGTTTTATAAGCCACTGAGATTGATAAGGAGCCTTGACCTTCATTCTCAAGAAAACATTCTAAAAAAGGCTCTGTAACCAATGCCGTCTTGCAAAATCGGCAACCCAAAGTTGCAATAACAAACCACAGGTTAATAGCTGACAGTTTTACAGATTCTTTATGTTTTCTCAGCAGAAATATTCCATAAGAACCGAACCATAAAACTAAGGAAACCAGTACAGAAAAATCTAATGTAACTGAAAGCGATCGGCAACGCTTACAACAAGTGTATGACCATGAAATCGTTAATAAATGACAAAAATAAATGAACGAACCATACCTTTGTGCAGCTGCGAGGCTGCAGATGTTTTAAGCCTAACAATCCATGAAAAGATCTATTTGTAAAGCCCAAAGACCAACGAAAAAAGAACCTGTAACACAAAAATCTACAAATTTGCCAAAGCACATGGTTTTCCTACACGCACAAGTATTCTTGCGGCACACTTATTTGTCACTTCATGTAAGCTACAATCGTGTAATTTGAATATTATGTCTACATGGTTGCAGCCAACACTTTGGTTTTGATTGTAATGTTTTTATGTTTTCTTTGTAGAAGTTTATGAGGAACCAAGTGATGATTCAGGATCAGGTTAAGATACTTGATTTTGGAGTAGTTTCTGTCTGATAGTTATCCAGCCTGGATATTGAGTTTGGATAGAAAAACAAATATTGTTTAAAAGAGAAATCTAATTTCTAGCAAAATCTAATATCTAATATCTATGTCTAATAATCAATTTTTTTACTTTTTATAGGTTACTGAAAATAATATCTTACTGTCATTTTTAATTTAGGAATTGTAGTACGTCCCACTTGTCCTAAGAAATTAATAAGATGTGACTCAAGTGAGGGATATATTGATGCAAGGGTAAGAATCAGTACAAGAAATTGCTCTAATTGATAACTCCAAATAAATGATCATGAAAAATAGTTTCTGCTCCATAATGCTGGCTTTTCCCCAAAAAATAAATCCATCATCGTGCCCTAGCCATTGTCACTAGTTGATGTTTTGATTTCTCTTTTTGACACCTTTCTGCTTCATGAGGTACTAAAATTGTAATGAGAAATTACTATTTGGTCACTGCTATTAGTGAAAGAGTTAAATATGAGATATTTCAGCCCCCCAATAAACCCCATGTCCCGTAAGATAGAGTAGCATTTATGGTAATTTCTCATTATGACATCCGATCCCCACTGAATTGCATACTAAGGTGATGTGAATAAACTAACAAAAATGATCATCAACTAAATTAGAAGCTCTTGAAAACTAAACAAATTCTCTTTTTCAGCAGTGTAGGAAATATATAGATAACAGTATTGAGAATATGGATAGTGATGTTAGGATTTAAAAGATATGTTAGTATTAATGAAGTTATGAACTTAAATGCCAGCTGGAGCACTTTCATTTTTTTTTTTTTTTTGCAATATTAAAGATTATTTTTGTTCACAGGAATTATAGTGTTTTGAAGTGTTTTCAAAAGTGATTTGTTACTCAACTGTTTCACTGACATGTTTTAATTTTTTTTTTTTATCAGTCTACATCAGTTATTCAAGAAGAGCCAGGTAATACAATTGTTTGGAAGTGAAATCATCATTTTAATAATTAGATATATCACATTTTTTTCTCTAAATCATGCCCGTTAAATTAAAGGCCACTTCGATCATTATCATGGCTGGATTCTTTTCCTTCCATGAAAAGTTCTGAAGCTATGAAAAAAAGAGTAGCCTCTACTGAATACACAGGTCTTTTAGCATTTAAAATCATGGAAACTGAAAGGAATACAGTCACTTTTATATTAAACATTTTTCATTTTAAGTTACAATATTTATAGCTACAGGAAAACCAAGTTGACCATAACTGCAAAAACTCATGAAACCAAAAGAGGTCAGGTCCAAAACATTTCTTTTAATTTTGATTATTAATATTAACATTATTCTGGGCTAAAAAGGAACACATTCAGTCACCTGGTCCACACATTTTGTAAGGTACATTACAACAATCACTTAGTTTATCAGCTGTAGACTAATCCTGGTTTTTTCTGTTTTGTTTTCTAAGTTCAATGCCCTCCTCCTGCCCCTGCCCGACCTCCAAAACCAGGATTTTTAAAGGCCAAGAAGCCACCACCAGTAATACAACCAGAACCGGTAAGTAAGAATTTTGGTTATATTGAATAGTATATGCACTGGACTTTTGTTGTGAAACTTATTTGCATTAAAATACATGCATTCCCCTCTTTGAACAAATAATTTCTTATTAACTAAAGAATGCTCTTCTTATTGAATGTTTCTCTCATTTTTTCTCAATTTTCCACAAATTCTTCAACTTTTTAGAGCTACATGATCAATAAGCCCTTGATCTGCGCATTCAATTTATATTCCGCCAAGCTTCAATTCCAAGCCAAAATTTTGTATCAGTTTTGAATTGTGTGCCAAAACATATTGGGAATGGACTTAGTCTATTACCATGATATGTTAATAGTTTAAAACTATCCATAGCACTTCAAAGAGAAGGTTCATAATATTGCTTGGAATTACAAACTGAACTTTGTTGTGTACTCATAGATAATTTTCAAGAAAACTGATCAAGAATTTGACAAAGACAATTGAAATATCCCTTATGTCATTCTGAAGAAGAATTCTAAAGGAACACACCCTTTTTCTGAACCAGAGTGATTGAAAGAGAGTTTGAAAGTATAGAGGCATTTGCAAAATGCTTCTGAAATTAGGGGGTTTTGAGTTTCAAGAGCACATTTTTTTCCCCCATATCAAGAGATCTAGAAATGGTTGGTTTGAAGTTTGGTTATCAGATGGTGCAAGAGGTTAAATAAGCTGTAGACAACCAAAGCCTTCATTTCCAACTTGTAATATAGTCAACATACATATTGTGTGATCAAGTTATGGGAATTAACTGTCAATTTACAACACTGAATAACCCAGGAAATTTATGATGAGGTACCAGAAGATGATCAACTTGGAAGAACCCAAGTTGTGGAGCAGGAAACATATGAGGTCCCTGATGATATGGATGGAGGGCAACAGTCCTCACAACCACCCCCACAGTATGATGGAGATGCTGAAACTTATGAAGTACCTGAACAAGAAGACCAAGAAACATATGAAGTTCCAGATGATCATGAGTCAGGTATAGGGCTACCAAAGTGATTAATGAATCAGAAATGGTTAAGACATGTTTTGATGGTGTTGAAACCATCACAGATCATTATTGTCTGTTTAATTTCAGAAACAGTTACTTAATAAATGTTTAATATTATATTGTCAAAGTTAGAGTACTTTTGGATTACTGTTGGATAACTATTAAAGGCCACAAAATGATTTTTTATTAACACGATATATAAATGTTATTGTATTAATTGATTGACTGATGGATGGATGGATTCATCTATTTACATTTGTTGCAGGTAATTTTTGCTTTTAGTTAATTGTATTTCTAACCAAATAAATATTTTGAACTAGTTGATTTTATTTTCAACTAGGTAATTTTTTTTAACTACAGTAGGTAAATTTTTTCAACTGGATAAAATTTCTGTGCCCAGTTAGGTTTAAGGTAGGAGGTTAGTTTGGGTCAGGATGACTCACCTTACAACAAATTGTTTTGCATTCTGGGTTTGTGATATGCTGACAGACTAAGTTCCAATCCATGTGTAGAGACAGAGGTTTAATGCTAGGTTACATTTTTTTAATTTGTAATAATTTAAATTCCTTTGTTCTAAAGTCATTATTTGCAAATTGTGTCTCTTAAAATTTAGCACCATCACAGCCATCACAGCCATCACAGCCCCCACCAAGACCATCATTTGGAGGGTTTGGTTTAAAGCCTACAAGGATGAATACATTAGCTGAGAAAATGAAACCATTTTCCCCTAAAGATTTACCAAAACAAAAACCAGGTATTACTATTTTAATTTCTATTCAACTTAAAGAATTTGAATATATGAAAATCCTACAATTATGTGTACTGCTGAGTTTCATGAAATCTATAAAAGCGTTTCATGAAATCTATGTATTAGTTTCATGAATGAGTTATGTATTAGTTTCATGTATGGGTTTCATGAAATCTATGTATTAATGAAACCTACTAAATAAATGTAGTAGTGGAAATAACTCCTTTAAAAACTTCAGGCTCATTGTAAGGGATTGTATTTCTTAATTGTTTAAAAAGCAATTGTCAAAACTTTACTTAAGATAATTGTGAAAATTCAAAGTTGCTCTTATCTGGAGGTTGAACCCATTACATAAGTTCATCAGATTTCTTCCTTGTCTGAATTTGATTGGCAGTCGTAGAAAAACAAAACTTAAAATGTGTTAAGTAAACACATATTGTTTTAAATTGAACTGAGCTGAGCTCATCAAGTAATCATATTTTTTTTAACTCTTCAGAAGGGTGACTTTTAACCAATTACTTCCTTTACCCTTTTTTGTCAGGAATTAAACCTCCATTAGCATCTAAACCACAAGTCAACCAAAAGCCAAATGCTCCTGGTCCAGTTAGAAGTTCTCCCAACAGATCATCACGACTGTATCCAGCATCAAAAGATAACATAGGTTAGAATGCTGTAACAAATTAACTGAAAACCAAACTACCAGTACAAATATGAAAATTAGATTGTAGTTGAAAATGAATGATGATAAGTTTGATATGTGTTTCTCTTTGTTTTAAGATTATTGTATTTGGAACAAAGAGGAAGAGAATTCAAACCAGATTGAAATCATTTTGACCAGATCAATTAATTTAATCTACAATATATACTAGTACACAATTACTGTAATTAAATTGTATGGTGTTTTTACGAACAATGTTTAGAGGGTAGCAAATGTGTACTTTGAACAATATTTCATGTGTCATAAATTTAAGAAGAAAACTCAAAATCTCACCTTTCCTTGCATTTCTGTAAAATTCACAGGTCTCTCATAAATTTTGGGCTTAACATAATAAGTTAAAAAAAAAAGCAAAACATGAAAACCCTTCGCCTGACCCTATGTTTAGGTCAGGGGGCTGAAATACTAATGTGTTTACGGAATGTTGTATATATTATGCATGCATTTAATAACGTAATTACCAGTGTTTAATGTTTGTGTGGTTTCATTAGGTCCTCCCGATTCACCAACGAAAAGACTCTCTGGAGTAACTTCACTAGGTTCTCGACCACCCATGGCTACTCCATCCCAAGAACCTGAAAAGAATAACAATGAACTCTCTCCAACAAAGTCATTTTCAAGGTTAGTGCCAAACTCAAAATAGTTTTCACAAAAATAGAAGCAATAATATTGCCGATTGCATCCCTGTTTGGTTCACATAATGATGACAGATGTGTATTTACCCTCATGCCAAGGACACCATTGGAGTATGACACTTACAGGACCATGAATCTTTAAACACAGTCTTATAATCTTAAAAACCCCATTGGGTTGGGTCACAAAGTTTTATTCTTGGGTATTTTAGGTATTTGAATTTGGAATTTAATGGCTTTCAGGGAACCTTAAATTTGCTTTTCATTCAAGTGACCTGTGTAAAATGAGGATGGAATTAAAAAAAATTTCCTGGTGGTTTTTTCAAGGAACCTGTTTTTTATCAAACACTCCTCAGTGCATAGAACACTATTAAAGTTAATTTATAACTTTATTGGTGTTCAATAAATTAGTCCCTGCTCCACCTCCTTCCTGAAAGGATCTAAGCTAGCACTAAGGAAATCAGTGGAAATAAAACCCAACTTTTTTGCCTCACAAAGTGATTTCCCCTTATCAAAAAAAAACAAAAACATTTCACCCTCTATCTAGGTTACCACCACCACCAAACGGTCGAAAACTGGTCCCTCCCCCTGTGGAGGAATCACCACCTCCCCCTCCTAGACCTGGTGCTAAGGTAAGTCAAAAAAGTCCAAGTGCGTCTGAGTGTCTCTCAGTCTGCTGGACAAATGACACGTACAGAGTTTCTTTTATTTGATTCAAGAAGCTCTGAAAGACACTTGTCTACTCTTTAACCAGTAAGCAGTAAGATGATGTGATGTTAATAGTTTAATCTTCAGCTTTTGATAGCTTCCTGTTTACCTATTTTTTATTTTATTTTTTTGTATATACGTATACACTTAATTACAATAATGTTGTCATAGTGAAAAACAAAAAGTAAATCAAAACGCAAAAAAAAAGCCAAAAAGGAATTTAATAGCATACAAAACTACTCTCTGACTATATTCTAGTAAATTGATAATTTTCACTGAACTTTAAAAAAAAAAAAACTTTGAGTATCAGATGTTGTTTAGAAGTTTCAAGTGATTCCGAAAATGAAAACAAAAAAAAAGAAAACATATAAATTATGTAACGGCCGACACAAGCGAAGCAAAATTTCGACGACAACTACGAGTTTCGCAAATGAAGACACACTATGAAGCGAGGATATATTTTACGGACAAGCCTTGATTCGTTTTATTTTACGTAGTCGTGGTATCCAAGTACTTTTATAACATAACCAAAGTAAAGCGCGCGCTCTGATTGGTCAATTTAGCGTCCCCCATTTGCCCATGGGTGTACGCTGCTGACGTGAGCAAATGCAAAGACTATTTTCCCGCGCGCGCTTGTTTTTTCTGGTCGCGTAAGATTTGTTAAATAAAAGGGAACTCTTTAGCTACAATGTATCAATGTTGTGTTATAAAACAAATGGTAAACACCACAGCGTACACTATTGAGTTATGGATGCACTTGGGAGGTTTACTAAGCACTCAAGAAGCTAGAGTCGCTCTCGGCTATCGCCTCGAGCGACTCTTACGCTTCTTTCGTGCTTAGCAACCTCCCGCGTGCATCCATAACTCAATAGTGTACGCTGTGGTGTTTACCATTTGTT